TGATGATTGCTGATGATGATGATGATGATGATGATGATGATGATGATGATGATGATGATGATGATGATGATGATGATGATGACCACGAAGATGCCCACCTGCGCGTGCCGCCAAGCCGATTGTGAGCCCTGGTGATGTCGAGCGGCGCCGCGTTCCTTTCCCGAGGTGGGTGCCGGAGTGCCCATGCCGCGCCAGCCTCCAGTGCAAGAATCCTCCTCCTCCTCCTCCTCCCTCCCTCCCTTCCTCCCTCCCTCCCTCCTCCCTCCTCCCTCCTCCCTCCTCCTCATCCCTCCTCCTCCTCCTTCCTCCTCCTCCTCCTCCTCCTCCTCCTCCTCCTCCTCTTACTCCTCCTCATTCCTCATTCCTCCTCCTCCTTCTCATTCCTCCTCCTACTCATTCCTCCTCCTCATTCCTCCTCCTCCTCCTCCTCCTCCTCCTCCTTTCAGCTTCAACTTGATGCCACCACGCCCGAGCTGCTGTCGAAGTTGAATCCTGCACGAAAGAGAGGCGTGCTCGCAACGTCCGCGTGGTCCACCAGGGCGGTTTCGACGGCTTGAGTGCTTGTGTTAGCCCAGCGGCCCCCATGCTGGTTCAAACCAAGGCCAACAAATATGCGCGCGGAGCTGCGCGCACCTGGCCAACGAACGCGTTGCGCATCAGGCATAACACCTTGAACAGCGATGTGGACTGCATGAGCGAGGACGTCACTGCGGTCTGCTTGCTACGGTAACCACAACCATGCAGATACTTCGGAAGACACTGCTGAGAGGGATTGCGTAAGGCGTGAGGACTGGTGCTAAGATGCATTCCGCTGCTGTTGAGGCCGTGGGGGTCGGCCACGGAATCTGAAGCGGCATGCTGTTGGCCACCTCACCACAACATTGAGCGGGTTGACCCACGCCAGGGCCGAAGCGGCGTGCTCGCCGGAACTCTCGGCGAATGTAGATGGTTCTTTGTGGCGAATCCGTCGTTCCGCATCCGAATCTCCGGTCGGCTCGCGAGGGGCCGCTGCTTTGCAGTTGAGGACCCATGCCTGCACAGCAGCTCGAGCCTAAATGCGTACGATTGAGATGCGAAGCCCGTGACCCCAGCACCCTTCCTGGACTCGCTCGCTCCTGCTCCACCCTGTGCTTCCCCTCGCGTGCTTCCAGACATGATGATGCTGATGATGATGATGCTGCTGCTGATGATGCTGATCGTGATGATGCTGATGATTATGATGATGATGATGCTCATGATGATGATGATGATGATGATGATGCGGATGACGATGATGATGATGCTGATGATGCTGATTATGATGATGATCGTGACGATGATGCTGATGATGATGATGCTGGTGCTGCTGCTGATGATAATGATGATGATGACGAGGATGAGTATGATGATGATGATGATGATGCTGACGATGATGCTGCTGATGACGATGATGACGATGATGACGATGGTGATGTTCGTGATGATGATGATGATGATGATGATGATGATGATGATGATGATGATTTCGATGATGATGGTGACGACGAGTATGATAATCAGGACGATGATGAGGATGATGATGCTACTGATGATGATGACGATGATGATGCTGATGCTGTTGCTGCTGATGCTGATGATGCTCGCCATGATGATGATGATGATGATGATGATGATGATGATGATGATGATGATGATGATGATGATGATGATGATGATGCTAATGATGATGATGCTGCTGATGATGATGACGATGATGATCATGATGATGATGATGATGATGATAATGATCATGATGATGTTGATGTTGATGTTATTGAGGATGATTCTGATGACGATGCTGCTGATGATGGTGATAATGCTGATGATGCTGATGATGATGATGATGATGATGCTGGTGCTGCTGATGATGATGATGGCGATGAAGATGAAGATGAAGATGAAGATGAAGCTGATGATGATGATGATGACGATGATGATGATGATGATGATGATGATGATGATGATGATGATGATGATGATGATCATGTTGGTGCCGCTGCTGCTGATGATGATGTTGATGATGATGGTGGTGCTGCTGCTGACGATGCTGCTGATGACGATGCTGGTGGTGATGATGATGATGATGATGATGATGATGATGATGATGATGGTGGTGGTGGTGGTTGTGGTGGTGGTGTTTGATGATGGTGATGATGATGGTGGTGGTGGTGATGATGATGACGCCCCATCACTGAGTGAAGGTTTACCCGCCCTCCCGACGACGCCGGCCGGCGAACGCCGCGGCCCAAACGAGGGCGCTGGCACGCTGGCTGGCCCAAAGGCCGAAGCGCCTCCGTACATAGCTTTGAAATATGCGCACAGCCTGTGGTGAGTGGCACACTCCGACTGTATGTCGAACTGTCGTGCGCCGTGTTCTTCTGCCGTTGCTTTCCGGCCACCTGCTCCTTCCCCCTATCTTGTCCCATCACAGACTATCGGTTGCATTTAATGTCCCGCCCGCCCGCCCGATTGAACGCCCCATCATTGAGTGCATCGTACATGTCCCGCCATCCCCAGTGGTTGTGCGATCTTTTCCCCAAATCTTGTCCCATCACCGAGTGAAGATTGCATTCAATGTCCCACCAGAAGCCGTCGCCATTGCCGTCGTCGTAGCCGTTTCCGTCGTCGGCGTCGTCGTCGTCGTCGCGAGCTCAAGCAAAGCTCAAGCAAAGCTCAAGCAAAGCTCTAGCGTCGCTCAAACAACTCTCAAACAAAGCTCAAACAAAGCTCAAACTAAGCTCAGACAGAGCTCAAAAACAGATCCAACAAAACTCACGCAAAGCTCAAATGAAGGTCAAATAAACCTCAAGCAAAGCTCGTACCATCACCGAGTGAAGATTGCATTTAATGTCCCACCCGTCGCGGTCGCCATCGCCGTCGCCGTCGCTGTTTTCGTCGTCGTCGTCGTAAGCTCCAGCAAAGCTCCAACAAAGCTCAAGCAGTGCTCCAACATAGCGCAAACACAGCTCAAACAAAGCTCAAACAAAGCTCAATCATAGCTCAAGTATAGCTCAGCCGAAGCACAAACAACGCTCAAATAAATGTCTACAAAAGCTCCAACAAAGCTGCAACAAACTTAAGCAACACTCAAAGACAAGTCAAAGTCAAGCAATGCCGAACGAACGCTCAAAATAAGCTCCAACAAAGCTCAACCAAAGCTCGAATATAGCTCAACAGTATCGCAACCAAAGCTCAAACAAAGCTCTGACACAGCCCAAACAAAGCTCAAATAAAACGCAAGCAAAGCTTCAACAAAGCTCAAACAAAACGCTTCCCATGCCGAGTGAAGGTTGCATTTAATGTCCCACCCGTCGCCGTCGTTGTCGTCGTCGCCATTTGCGTCGTTGTCGATGTCTTACGCTCAACCAACGCTCAAACAAAGCGCGAACAACACTCAAATCAAGCTCAAACACAGCTCCAATAAAGCTCAAACAAAGCTCAATCGTAGCTCAACTATAACTTAAGCAAAGATCACACAAAGCTCAATCCCAGTTCAAACAATGCTCAAGCACAGCTCAAACAAGACTCAACCGAAGCTCAACCAAAGCTCAAACAAAGCTTCAGCACAGGTTAAACAAAGCTCAAACAAAGCTCCAACAAAGCTCAAACAAAGCTCCAACGAAGGTCAATACAGTTCGACCAAAGCTCAAACACAACTCAATCGAAGCTCCAACAAAGCTTAATCGAAGCTCAACCAAAGCTGAAACAAAGCTCCAACAAAGCTCCAACCCCGGCCCCAGCCTTGGCCGGCCCCGGTCGGCCCCGGCCACGGCCCCGGCCCAGGCCAGCCCAGGCCGGCTCTGGCTTCGGCCCTTGGCCCCTGCCCGACCCCTCCCCTTTGTCGAACCGGGTGCCGTGTCCCTTTCGGCCAGGTGTGCTCCTCAGGTGGGCGACGGAAGAAAAGGGGTCGTTTTCACCGATTTTGGTGCGCAAGTTGCCCGTGAAAAGCCGCGCGTAAGCGCCCTCGTCTCTAGCGTAGCGTGCCGCGCTGGCGGCCCGCGTAAGTCACCGCGAAAGGTCGCTGTGCCATCTCGCGTAAGACCGCTTTCTTCTCGTCGCTCAAGCTGCATTTGTCAATACATCGGTGCCGCTCGATTGGTGTCTCAACGGGCCGCTTGCGGGAAAAGTGGGCGCCGCCCCGAGGGAGTGGCCGTTTGCGATCTTGCGAGGGTCGCTGACATTGCTGGAAATGGTCAACAGAACCAGTGAAGGATGACTACGACGACGAGCAGGGGGAGTAGTAGGAGGATGAGGAGGAGAAAGGTGCGGGAGATGACAACGGTAATGGTGGTGATGACGATGGTGATGACGATGGTGATGACGACGACGATGATGACCATGACGATGACGCTGTTGCTGCTGCTGATGATGCTGATGATGCTGCTGCTGATGATAATGATGGTGATGATGATCATGATGATGATGATGATGATGATGATGATGATGGTGATGATGATGCTGATGCTGATGCTGATGCTGATGCTGATGCTGATGCTGATGCTGATGCTGATGATGCTGATGATGCTGCTGATGATGATGATGCTGATGATGGTAATGATGATGATGAGGAGGAGGAGGAGGAGGAGGAGGATGATGATGATGATGATAATGATAATGATGATGCTGGTCACGACAAGGACGACTGTTGTGGTACTGGTGATTGTGATGTTCATGATGGCGCTTGTGATGGTGGTGTAGGTGATGATGGTGATTACGACGATAACCAAGATGCGAGCAATGACGCAGATGATGGTGGTGATGATGGTAACAGTTGCGATTGTGCTTATGATCGTTCTGACTCGGATTGTGCGGGTGATGGTGGCGATCGCCAGGATGGTTGATGTTTATGAGTCGGATGATGATGGTGTTGCTGGTGCTGGGGATGATGAGGAGGAATCTGATTGCATGGGGGATCAGCATGGGGATGAGCAGCACGCGAGGGGAGGAGGCACGGCGTCGTGAGGAAAGGCGGGCGGGCCCAGGCGCCCGAGAAGGGCGGTGACGACTGGTGGGACGACAAGTGGGAGGGCCGCTCCGCGCTCTCCTGTCGCCTGCGTCGCTGCCGTCGTCAATCGCAACGTCAACGTCGTCGTCGTCGTCCTCGTCCCGCTTCCCTCCCACCCCCCCTTCTCGCTGCTCTGCTCGACCCAGGGTGAGGAGGCGGAGGAGGAGGAGGAGGAGGAGGAGGATGATGAGGATGAGGATGAGGATGAGGATGAGGATGTTGATGATACTGATGCTGATGCTGATGATGATGATGATGATGATGATGATGATGATGATGATGATGATGATGATGATGGTAATGATGGTGATGATGAGGATGATGATGATGATGATGATTATGAGGAGGAGGAGGAGGAGGAGGAGGATAGTATGATGATGACGACGATGATGACGATGATGATGATGATGATGAGGAGGAGGAGGAGGAGGAGGATGAGGAGGAGGAGGAGGACGAGGCGGCGGAGGAGGAGGATGAGGAGGAGGAGCAGGAGAAGGAGAAACAGGAGGAGGAGGAGGAGGAGGAGGAGGAGGAGGAGAACGACCAGAGATAATGAACAGAAACGACCAGAGGTACTGAACAGAGACAACCCAATGTGCATCAAGGATCCGCTGCTGCGCCCGTCTGTCCCAAGCCCTCCCACACCTCCGTGGAATACCCGTGCTTATGCTTTTCGCCGCCCGGGGTGCCCCGTTGTGAAAGGCGAGCGCCCCACATGGCTTTTTGCACTTCGGCGAGGGCCCTGCTTTGGAACGGAGCGGTCATCCATGCTGCTAGCTATGGTTATGATGCTCCAACCTACTTTGGCCTTTGACCACCAGAAAGAACTTCGAGCACCAAGAGAGTGTCGAAGCCGGAGGGCTTGCACGGGTCGACCCCTGGGAGGCGAGGCTCGTTGGACACCTCGCTGGCGTGTCGGGCAGACGTTGTTTTGATACTCTTCCGGGTGCTCGAAATCGTGCCCGGGACTTGGTCCTTCAGTACGGAATGGGGGCCACAGGAAGCTGCATGGAGCACGCGACGAGGTAGGATCGTACAGCCCAGGTAGGTGTCCAGCAGATGCTGAGATTTCAGCCGCCCTCCCTCTGTGCAGCTGCTGTACTCGGGTTGACCCAAAAGGGGGTTCAGCGACAAGGGGGTGATGCAATAGATTTGGTGCAATATATTTGCGGGGTTGCAATACATCGGGGGCATGCAATACATTCCGGGCCGCAAATGTATTGCTTCATTTTCACGTGCAATACATTCGTCGCAATACAATGCAGTACAATTCTCTGGCGCAATACATTTGCAACACAATTGCCCCAAATCTATTGCACCACCCCCTTTCAGCTGGACCCCCTTTTGGGTCGACCAGGTGTACATGCTCGTGTTCCTGGCCCTGCGGCTTCTGGAAGCGTCGAGCGGGCGCTCCGGTCTGGAGCCCGACCGGCCCTCCACCCTTGCAGAGCTGCTGGACGCTGCCACGGCAGTCGTGTGCGGCGCGGAGGTGATCACTTCACGTCAGCGCCGCCCGCGCCCCTCGTATGTACGCATGCATGCGTGCGTGCGTGCACGTCTGTCTGTCTGTCTGTCTGTCTGTCTCTCTCTCTGTCTGTCTGCCTGCCTGCCTGCCTGCCTGTCTGCCTGTCCGTTTGTCTGTCTGTCTGTCTGTATGTGTATATCTGTATCTATATACGTATATGTATATGTATATGCATATGTGTATATATATATATACATATATGTATCTGAGTATGACCCGGGGGGGGTGCACGAAAAAGACCCTGCAGACTCAAGGGGGCCCAGAGGGCACCAAAAGGGGCCCTCAAGAGAGGCCAGAAAGCACCACAGCGCTCCCAGCACGCCGACCACTGCTACGCAACGGCGCACGTGGCCTCCACGATGCCCCCAAGAGAGCCCAGCTGATCCCTGGGAGCACCAGGAGCGACAATCATTGATTTCCCTATCCCTGAGGCAGGCTCCCTGGTCGATGATCATTGCCATCCACATGGTTTTTCAAGGGTTTTCGTATGCCCGTCTGCGCCGCTGCCCGACCGACGCTCGGAGACGGCACAAGAGCTGCCCATGAGAGGGTCCCAAGGCACCCGAAGAGGGCGCCAAGACGGCCCAAGAGGCGCCCCAAATCGCCCCAGAGGGCTCCTTTGCGGCCCCCCAGATGAGCTCGGACACGCCACAAGGGTCCTCGCCCACGGGGCTCCAAGACGGCCCCAGCACGCCCACCATCGCTCAGCCCACGAGGCATACAAGACGGCCCAAGAGGGCTCTAAGCTGCTTTCCGAAACAGCCCCAATTGGCACAAATCATTGCTTTTCCATTGTCCTTTATTTTATTTTCGCGTGGTCACCCGCTCCGCTTCCCGACACTCGGAGACGGCACATGAGGCGTGCACGGGGCCCCCAACGCGCCCCAAGGCGGCGCCAAACCGGCCCAAGATGCGCCCAACCGGCCTTAGAGCCCTGCAGGCGGCTCTCCAAATAAGCCTAGACACGCCAAGAGGGCCATAAAGAAGGCCCGCAGGGCTCCAAAGCGGCCCAAGAACGCCCAGCAAAGGCTCACAGAAGCCGCCACGAGGGATCCCGCACTGGCGCGCTTTCAGGTTCCTGGAGAGCCTTCCGGGAACCTGAAAGCGCGCCCGTCATCGGATCAGGAAGTTCTCCAGCATTTTCTTATGCTGCTCTGGAGAGCACTCCGCGATATAAATAAATACCGCCCCCCCCCGGCCCCGGGTCACACACCTCCCCGTGACATCTCGGGGACGCTCCCGGTACCGCTTCCCCAGCCTTTCCGGGGAGCCTCCACAGCGCCCCAGGAGGGCCCAAGACGCCTCCCAGGAGCCCCCAGAATGCGAAAGGATGGTCCAAGACGCTCCTAAGCAGCCCAAGTCAGCCTTCCGACGTCTCTCGAGGCTCCCAGGTGGCCTCCAAGAGACCCCACGAGAGGTCCGAGAGGCGTCCCGGGACGGCCCGAAGAGGCCAAAATCGTATATTTTCATGTTTTAAAACATGTCTTTGGCTTCTCGCGTTTTCGAGCTTCCAATGGTCCAAGAGCGCCGAAGAGGCTCCCAAGACCGCCCCAAGACCACCCAAGAGACCCTCAGGACGGCCCCAAGACGAGGCAAGAAGTTTCCAAGACTGCCGAAGAGGCACCCAGGACAGCCCCAGACCACCCCAGAGCAGGCCCAAGATGGGCCCAAGAGCGGGAGCAGGAGGCTTCCAGATATCTCCGAGAGGCCTCCGGGACCACCCAGAGGCCCCCAACACACCCCCAATCCTTGAGAGGCCCTAGAAAGACCCCGACGAGGCTCCAAGAACAGCCCAAGAGAGCTGCGAGAGCCGTTCCGAGAGAGCCCAAAGAGGGTAGAATCGTTGATATCCAATTGTTTTTCCCATGTTTTTCGCCTTCTCACGTTTTCCCGCTTCCAACCCTCAAAGATCGAGGATTTTGAAAAAAGGGAATTCCAAGAATTCTTTTTTTCCACAACGGAACTCCTACTCGGGGGTCCTGCACATCCCCTGATATCTGGCCGGTACCGCGCCTCCCGGCTTCCTGGGGAGACCCCGAAGGACAGCCCATGACAACCCCAAGAAGCTCCCAGAACGTAGAGAACGGCCCAAGACGCTCCCAAGCAGTCTAAAACACCCTGTGGACGGCTCTCCACGCACCCAGGTGGCCTCCAAAAGGCCCCAAGAGAGGTCCGAGAGGCGTCCCGGGAAAGCCCGACGAGGCCCAAATCGTCGATTTTGATTAATTTTTTCGATGTTTTTGGCCTTCTCGCGTTTTCGAGCTTCCAATGGTCCAAGACCGCCGCAAGACCGCCCAAAAGATTCCCAGGACGGGTCCAAGATGGGTCAAGAACCCCCCAAGATTGCCGAAGAGGCGCCGGGTACCGCGCCCCCCGGCCTCCTGGGGAGCTCCCAAAACGTTCCAGGACGCCCCAAGACCGCCCCAAGAACCCCTCAGAATGCAAAAGAACATACCACAATTCAGACCCCCCTCACCTACCCAAAAAGAACACAGGAAGCCTTTGAGGGCCCCAAATCGTTGAATACCTAAAAGAAATCAATGATTTCTGCGGTTCCGCCCTTCCCCTTCTATACGATTCCGAGGGTTGCGCAGGGCCTTCAAGGGAGCCCCTGGACGCAAGGAGCGACCAAAGTGATATTGCATGAGTAGGCCTATCAAGCCTAGCTAGAACTTGAGCGCGCGCGAAGCGCGCGCGATGGTTCCAGTATGTGTGTATATATAGATATATAGATATATGTATACATCGATTTATACACATACATCTACATATATTCAGGAGGGAAAAACACACACACACAGACACAATTAGTCTTCGATTCCCCAGAAAATAAGGGAAAATATGGGAAGTGGGGGGGAAGACAAAAACCCAGAAAATATGGGGAAATATGGGGAATCTTGTTATCTGTGTGTATTTATTTGTGTGTCCCAGGGCCCCTTCACATATGCATATACATTTACATATACACACATGGGAGATCCCGGCCCCGGGCCCCCCGTGCCGGCCCCCCGCTTGCACATTCTATTCTTGTCCCCCCTCCCTCGTGCGGCTCTCCGGGAGGCCCCCGACGCTCCCGGGCCGCCCGAGGGCGCTCCGAGAGCGCCCAGAATATCACCGCCCACCAATTCACCCCAACCCAACCCGAAGGCCTCAATTTGCCCTCCATTTCCAGTGGGGTGGGTGGGGGTCGGGGAACATTGAAAAAACACATATGGAACTCGTACCCCCCCCAACCCGAAGTTCGAGTCTTCGGGTTGGGTTGGGGTTGTCTGGTAGGTGGTCAGAATAGCCTCCAGACCGCCCAAGAGGCCTCCAGGACGCCTCGGGCCCCGACAGAGGCCCCAGAGTTGTCCAAGACGCCTCTAGACGGCTTCGAGAAGACCCAGGGGGCCTCCCAAGAGGGTCCCAGGAGGCCAAAGTCGATCTTCACGGGCTCAAATATTTCTGCCAGGGGCCGGGGCCGATTTTTTGGGCCCCAACATCGCCCCGGAGAACCATCAAATCAAACAGCCGTCCAGGCGGCCAAAGACGACCCAGAGCCACCCCCCAGACGCCCTCCAGGCATCTCTGACGGTCCAGGAGAGCCTCAAGTCGTCGACAGAAGTGCAGACGGCCCCAGTGGGTCCCAGGAGAACCTCCGAAACGCAACCGACAACGCAGCAGCACTCAAAAGCCCAAGGGAGATTATGATTTCTCACTGCTTTCCAGACTCTCCTTGCCATTACTTCTGATGCAACTCCTGGGAGGTCAAATTCTGGTTTTGCCCTGGTCCGAAATCTGGCTTAATCCGGCTTAATCCCGCTTAATCCCGCTTAATCCGGCTTAATCCGGTTTAATCCGAGGCCCACTCCGGCGTAACAGCTCCCAAATGGGGCTTAATCCTCCTTAGTCTTTCCGACGGAAACCGCCCAGTAGTTGCCTCCTAACATTACTTCTGATAGTTCAGCGACCGGGAGTCTTCAGCAGGTCACTCGGCATGCCGCTCGCGCACGGGCGCGTCGGGCTGCCGGGCCGACTTGCAGGCGAGCTCCGCTTGTGGACAGCGACGCCTGTGCGGACCAACACCGTTCTGCGCTCGGACTGGCCAGAACGGAATGGGCCGAAGAGATCTGCAGGTGGCGTCCGCGTTTCTGCATCAGCGCAGCGATTTCTGCTCATTCGAGCTCACGTGCTGGTCGCTTGTGTCCTCCCTCCATCCTCACCCGAAGCTTTCCAGACTCTCCTTGCCATTGCTTCTGATTGTTCTGCGACGGGAAGTCTTCAGCAGATCACCCGGTGTGCCACTCGCGCACGGGCGTGTCAGGCTGCACCGCCTCTGCTGACCAGCACGCTTTTGCTTTCGGACCGGCCAACATTTCTTGAAGAGAGCGCTCAAAGGGCCGCGTGAGCCGCAGAGGCCAAGGATTTTTCCGCGCCAAGCAGAGCCCCAAGACCGCAAGAGGCACGCAACAAGTTTCTTCTAAAGGCCCCCGAGACGCCTGCGTGCGAGAACGGGCCGCTTGCGCGAGACGTCCCCACGCTCTGCAAGTCTGAGTGCGAGTGCGTCGTAGGTCTGAGTGCGAGTGAGTCTGAGTGTGAGTGAGTCTGAGGGCGAGTGAGTCTGAGTCTGAGTGATCCGAGGGTGAGCAAGTCTGAGTGTGAGAATACCGCAGTCCGAGTGTGTCGAAGTTTGAGGGGGCCTGAGTGTGAGCGAATCTGAGTGGGAGTGGAATTGACTTCGAGCGTGTCCAAGCATGATGTGTCTGCGCATGACTGAGTCTGAGTATGGCCGAGTCGGAAAGTGAGTTAGTCTGAGTGGAAGCGAGTGTGAGTGTGAGTGAGTCTGAGGGTGCGTGAGCTTGAATGTGTGAATGGTGAGTGAAGAGGGGGGACGAAGCCCCAGGAAAGGAATGCTCCTACAGGAGCATACGCAACACATGTTTCGAGCCACAGGAGAAGGGTAACCCGTATGAGCATACGTCAGGCACGGGTGACTCGAGCCCCAGGAAAAGAGGGGGAGCACATGCGATGCAAGCCCCAAGAGAGGGACACCCTGTGGGAACACACGCAAGCCAGGCAGGAGTCGGACCCCAGGGAGAGAGCAGTGGGCGCGCGATGTCAGTGCGATAGCCACACTTTGGGATGGAAGCGCCCCCCGTCCGTGTCATTGTTGGAGGCTCTCAAGACGACATTGCGCGGTGCTGAGGCGAGAGCCTCATTTCGAAACCGACCCTTCTTTCTCCCGTACACTGTTTGACAATTCAAGCTTCGGAGTCCTAACACGGGGATGCCGTCTCGCCCATCCGTGCACGTTCAAGTCTCAGCCCCAAGGCCCCTTTGTTAAACAGGAGCCGCCCTCCAAACTTGAAGCTGCTGCAGACTTCAGAAGACAGTGTGCGGTGGTAAGGCGAGCTGCCCATTTAGAACACGACCCCCACACACCCTTGAATATGTTGCAAACGTTTCAACGGAACGTGCGCGGCGCTAAGGCGAGGACCCCATTTAGAAGACGATCCTCGCCCCATCCTTGAAGCTGCTCCAAAGTGTTTTGACGACTGTTGCGGCGCTAGCGCGAGAGCCACATTCTCATCTCCATCCATGTAGCAGTTCCAATTGTTAAGCTTCAGGCTCACGCATGGTGAGGAAGTCTCCAGCAAAACGCCTAGCCCAGTCTGCCAACATCTCTGGGGGCGCGCCAGGGAGCAGATATTGATACTGAACAGGGACAGAGGGTGATGATGCTGATGATGCTGATGCTGATGCTGCTGCTGGTGATGATTCGGATGATGCTGATGATGCTGATGATAATGATGATGCGGATGACGATCATGATGCTGCTGCTGATGATGAGGATGTTGACGATGCTGCTGCTGCTGATGGTGATGATGCTAATGCTGATGCTGTGATGGTTATGATGATATGGATGAAGCTGATGACGATGCTGCTGATGCTGATGATGCTGCTGATGATGATGGTGATGATCATGATGACGATGCTGATGCTGATGCTGATGCTGATGATGCTGCTGCTGATGATGATGCTCATGATGCTGCTGCTGCTGCTGATGCTGATGCTGATGCTGATGCTGCTGCTGCTGCTGCTGATGATGATGATGATGATGATGATGATGATGATGATGATGATGATGATGATGATGATGATGATGATGGTGGTGATGGTGCTGCTGCTGATGATGATGAGGAGGAGCATGAGAAGGAGAAGGAGGAGGAGGATGAGGAAGAGGGGGAGGAGGAGGCGGAGGAGAGGGAGGAGGAGGAGGAGGAGGAGACGGAGGAGAAGGAGAAGGAGGGGGAGGAGGAGGAGGCGGAGGAGGATCATATTCTCTCCGCCCCGCCCGCCGAGAGGACCAGGGCTGGGACGCTGGGGCTAAGGGCGCGCCGCGGAAAGGCGAGGACTGGGAGGAGGACGCCGCTGCGGGCCCCGTCGGCCTCCGAGAGGCGTGGTCGTCGTCGTCGTCGTCGTCGTCGTCGTCGTCGTCGTCGTCGTCGTCGTCGTCGTTCGTCGTTGTCGTCGTCGTCGTCGTCCCCGTTCGTCGTCGTCGTCGTCGTCGTCGTCGGCAGCGGCGGCAGCGGCGCTGGCGGCCCCAGAGGCCACGCACTGACCTGGGGCGCCGCAGAGTGCCGAGGGTGGAGCCCCCAGCCAGCGTACTCTGCGGTCAGCAGTCCCCTTTGCGCAGGCACTCGGGGCATCTCAGTCGTCGGTTACCCAGCGGTCGTTGAAAGTAGGTATTTTTGGAGTCCCAGATTCCAATCTACAGAAAGCGCCTTCCCACTTCAATGATCGAGCGGCTTCACCTTTTCCGTCCTCTGCAGGGGGCGGGCGGGTACCCAATCCATTTTCAACGCCTTCCTACTTCATGCTTCTACCTACTTCTTCCGACCGATGGGTGCTGCTCGAGGTGGGCACACCGCTCGCTGCACTGGTCAGGGAACTGAGGCGATCACGATGTGGGCACCGGTCCTGGAGTTGTTGAGTTGAGTTGAGTCGCCGTCGTTTCAGATCTCCAGCGATGTGTTTTTTTCAATCCTGGCGTTTGTTCTGGATTTCGGCCTCTAGGGGCCCGTTGTCGAGCCTTCAGACCATCAGCCGTGGATCCAGGATGAAAAACCACCCCTGGGGAAAGGGTCGGGAACTCCCTCTGGGAACGAGCATAGAAACAAAGCACGCACTGTCGGATCGTCGTTGTCGTCATCGTCGTCGTCGTCGCATCCTCCTCCTCCTCCTGCTCCTCCTCCTCCTCCGTGAGGTCGGGGAGTCCAGCGTCAGTCAGGTCCGACGTTGTCCCCCCCGCTGACTGACTATTTGAGGTCGCTGGATCTCGTGACCCAGTCGGTCGTAGGGAAAGTCACAGAGGTTCTTCCTCTTCTTCTTCTGTCCCTCTTCTCCTCTCCCTCCCTCTTCCTCCCGCGGTCGTCGCCACCTTCGCCACCGCCTTCGCCGTTTTCGTCGTTGTTGTCCTCCTCCCCCTCCTCCGCCTCCTCCCCCTTCTCTCCTCCTCCTTCTCCTCCACCTCCCCCCCTCCACTCCTCATGCTCCTCCTCCCATCGTCGTTACCACCACCACATCACAACAGTAGGCATCTCCCACTCGTCATCACCATCATCATCATCATCACCATCAGCATCACCATCGATGTCACCGCCACCTTCGGTTATCATAAGCAGTGTCACAGTCACCACCATCTCACCATTCACATTGTCATCATAATGATACCAGAGAAAAACCCCAATCAGTTTTTTTTTTGGGGGGGGGGGGGGGGGGGGGGGGGCGGGGGGCATGGGGGCTTTAGGGCTTTAGGACTATGGGGCTATAGGGCTATAGGGCGATGTGGCCATAGGGATATAAGGCTAGAAGCCTTTAGGGCTATGGGGCTATAGGTCTACAGGGCTGTAGGGCTATAGGGCTAAGGGCTATAAGGCTATTCGGGCTATAGGGCTACAGGGCTATAGGGCTATATACCTCTATAGGGCTTTAGGACCATAGGGCTGTAGGGCTATAGGGCTATAGGGCTATAGGGCTATGGGGCTATAGGGCTATGGGGCTATGGGGCTATTGGGCTATTGGGCTATTGGGCTATAGGGCTATACGGCTATAGGGTTATAGTGCTATAGGGATATAGGGCGATTGGGCTATTGGGCGATAGGGATATAGGGCTATTGGGCTAGGCACCCCCGGGCACTTCTGGGCACCCCGGGCACCCGGGTACCCCTGGGTACCCGGGCAAACGGGCACCCCCGGGCACCCCCGGGCACCCGGGCACCCGGCCCCGGCCACCGAAATCGGCCACACACCTGGGCACCCCCGGGCACCCCCGGGCACCCGGGCACCCGGGCACCCGGCCCCGGCCACCGAAATCGGCCGCTCACCTCACCTCAGCTTTCTATCCGCTAGGACCCCTGCAGAGGCAAGCTCTGATTGGGGAATAACCGTGATCACCATCATCATGTGGTCT